AAAGGGAGCATCGACCTTGAGTGGGGTTCCCTCCTTAGCTCTTAATTCATTGACACATTCAGCTCTTTAAGGGTTTAGTATTTAATGACAACAAAAGGTTTCCAATGTGAATTATTTGCTAAGTAAAGCCACCACGTTATATATAATTTCCTCTACTATATTATTATTGTTCTTGCTTTAATTGACTGTTTATGTATTTGTCATGTACTTTGAAATGATATGTAGGTGGAATATGTTAAATGTATTGGATATATATCTAATAACCTTCTTATTTGTTTTTACATGTATATCTGTTTGGGCCTCTGAGTTCTTGACGAACTCAAGCCCAATTCCAGCTCAATTGCACTGCGTCCAGGGGTCCAAAGTAAGTTGTGTTCGCTCTTCTTTACTGTTGGGCCTATCTTCTTGACGCACAATCCCAGAGTCCAGTTCTCTTTCCCTCAACTCTTTTATCATTATTACTACTTTGTTAATTTAATTTACTGCCTCTACTACTTCAATGTTAGTTGTATTTATTATGTCTTTATTAGTGTTTACCTCTCATGTATATAACACTCGTATATTAGAATACATGTCTCCTTTTTTAATGTCATATCAACTTAGGCAAGCCTTAAACAATATAGGATTTTAAAAGGGTAAAATCAGCTAATAACAGGTCTTTAGTTCGCAAGTTGTAATTTGCTTGATAATTACTATGTTTTTCACTCACCCTTCTCTTCTTTAAAAGATTTTGAAATACAGTACTTAATGAAAAACGACTCTATTTCTAAAAGGAAACCAGATTTAAACTTTCATTTTCTCAAAGAAAATCAGAACTTCAGAAAATCATCACCTTCAAGGAATTTCCAGCTAATGGCCCTTTCTTTGAAAATTCTTTGAATCTAAGGTAAATTCTAGATATGATTTTCTCACAAACATCCTTTTAGCCTTATGTAAATAACCATCCCTCAAATCAAAGTGTTTTTCATAACTCAATCTCTTTTATAAGCTTATAAAATCTAGACCATTTCTGTATCAATTTCAAAACTTTTTAAACATCTCTTATATATCCTTTCATGAATTCATATCCCTTTAAGATTGTGCATTCTTTGTCATCTTTAGGCGTACAGTAAGCAACCTTCCTTATTATTAATCAAAGAATTTTACAAATAATTGATCCCAAACTTAGTCTAAATCCTATGGAGCTAACTCAGGTAGATTTTAAGGGGTGCCTAACACCTTCCCCTTAGAAGAATAAGAACCCTTACCCATAATCTCACCGGTTAGAAGTCCAACAAAGAACATGACTTAGTAATTAAATAGGTACCCTAGTATACCTTTAAATATTAGGTGGCGACTCTCTTGCACCAACAACCGAGAAACTACAAGTTGAATCTTGTCTTGACTAGTGCAAAATAGGGTGCAACAATATGGAAACTCTACTGGGGAGATACGCTTAGATTCTGACCTTAGCAGATTTAGGCTAATTTGGCTTCTAGATTTATTTGTAATTTTCTTTGATTATGATCAAAATTCTAATTACATGCTTACGTGCCTTATTTGCTCTTCATAATTATCTGCTCATCTTGCTTATTGCTGCTACACCCTTGCTTGTTACTACTTTATATATACTGTCATCACATCTCTTCCAATTGAGTCTTGGCCGTATACTATCACACTCAATGGCATGCGAGGGTTGTCTTTTACACCCCTCCGAACCTTTTTTTCAAAACTCTCTAGTTTTAGAGAATGGCTTTGTCAGGTTAACTGACATAACTTCTCACAGTTCTCAGTCCAATTCAAAAGTAGGAAACACTCTACTCTAGTAAAACAGGTCATACTACATAAACCCTAGGTGAGTTGGTCCCAGGTACCAACACACGATTAGGAAAAACACCCTGATGTCAACGGATCATGCACTCAACGACAAAATTTTTGTGGAAGGACAAACAAACTTGACAAAACATTTATGGATTCGAAGCAAACACTTACCCAAATATATTTTCTTCTACCCACCTTAGAAAATGAAAATCAACTAGAACATCCCTGAAATTAGCATGGTCATGGGAGCACCGCATAAGCTGAAATAGTGGTGGAAGAATATTTGTCGGGAACACGGAGATGAAGTTCGGATGCACCTAGGAGCATTAACTGCATTGATGAATATCTGAGCAGACAAAGTGCTCACTCGCCTATTGATAGAATTTTGGGATCCAGCTAAAGTGGTCTTCAAATTTGCCGACTGTGAGATGGTACCGACATTGGAGTAAGTCGCAAGCTTTACGGAGCTGCCATTCAACGGAAGAAAGCCAGTGCTGCCAGTTACTACGCCCGGCTATCGATTCTTGGATGCTCTAGGTCTTACCAACATCAAAAGTCTAAGAAGTATCGAGGATGGATGGGTAAGCCTCGACTAGATGTTCGATAGGTTTGGGAACTGAGAAAGCTACGAGTGGTATTCGGGGGAATTCCAATGTGACCAAGCGACACGGGAGAGCCTCAGGCCTATCACTTTCGCAATGGCACTGTTAGGACTATTGGTCTTCCTACAGCAAAGGGGCCGTATCAATATTAACCTATTACCAGCGGTCCTGGCAACCTTCTGCGACAATATTCAAGCTACTTTAATGCCTATGGTGTTAGCCGAAATGCTGAGAGCCTAATCCGCCTATGCATGGGGATACGGCATTTTCAAAGGATGCAACTTGTTGCTGCAGATTTGGGCTACTGAACACTTTTTCCAACGGGAGGATACTATCGACTACTTTGTAGGTGTCAGTAATATGATCTACAGGCACAATGAAATAATGAGGCACTGGATTTCCCCACATGGGCAAGAAGAATGGAGAAATACACTGACCAATCTGATAGGAGAATGGATCAATTGGAAACTCTCTTAGTTAGGTGGAAGATAAATCTTGAGGACTCCCCAAAGGTACGTCATTGAGTTGATTGGATTAGAAGGCATTCAGTCATACTCACCTCTGCGAGTCCTCAGACAATTTGGTATAATCCAAGATGTGCCTTTATGAACAAGGACGGCATTTTACGAGGATGACTATAATGGCCAGATTCCAATTCCCGGGATAAGGAAACTGCAAGAAAAGTGGAATGACCTAGTAACAATGCCTATGGGTTAAAATTCATGATCCACTCCTAATTAGTACGTTTGGATTAACGAAGAAGAATAATTGGCCCGCCCGAACTGAGAGGGCATAACTTGGTTAGAGGACGCAGTGGTTTCTTTACAAATTTACCATAAGATCCTGCCACACTATCTTGTGACCACATCAATGCATCTTCAGGTGGTCCCAAGATCCATTGACCACATGTTGCCACCGGTAAAAGAGGATGATTGGGTAGAAGAATGCATCCAGATAGAGTCAAGCACAGAACCAGAAGAAGATCCGGAGGAGGAGTCTGAATTTAATGATGATGAGGAAGACCCGAAGGAAGATCCGGAAGAGGAGCCAGAAGAAGAGAAGGGCCCATGAGGCAACTCGGGGGATGGTTATTAGAATTGGTTGATTTCCCTAGTTCTCTCTTTTACTTTCCAAAAGGGCAACTATCTAAGCCCGTGCAACTTTGTGATGTAATCCTTGTTCCCATTTTCATCAATCCAAATTATCAATGAAAACAAAATTGCTTCGGATATAGGCCTACCTACAACAATGAGAGGTCCCCGCAAATTCTAGGAATGCGCTAGCTGTAATGCATGATCTATCTACTCTATGTGATTTCTTGCTCGCATAAATGAAGAAACAGACTCTTACTCTTTTTCTTTTCTTTCCTCTTATTTTTCTTTTGCTTTATTACCCCTAAAAAGAAAAGAAAGTTGGTTTGCATCGACTAAAACTAGTGGAGCCACCATACAATCTAAGGTCTAAGGGAAAGATGTCAGCTGCAGAAGACCCAACCGAACATGCTCTAGTCATAGCCAGCAGCCCGGGGCGATCGGGGGAAAAGGACAGTACTAAGAATGATGAGCACGTGGACACGATAGACCAAGAAAGGGAATCCTTAAGAGAAGAGGTACAGCATATCAGAGAATTGGCGCACCTGGACGTGACGCCACTTCTTCACCCACCTAGATTACCTTCTTTAGATTCACTCCCAGATCATTTTCCTTCAACCTCCCGCCAAAATAACAACACTCCAACCTCAACCCACAATACTTAAGTTATACTTCCAATAACTCATGCTAACCCATCGAACCCTCCTATTCACACCCCCTACGTACCGCAATATCCTCAGATATCACAAAACCCGCCTATTACCACCAATATAACTACCCCTCCTCATGACAGAGTCACTTTCACCACCAACCAGCAAATACCCGTGGCACATGCTGCTACTCATGAGCGGTACATTCCTCCTATATATGTCAAAACCAAATCTACCTTTACAGCACCTATCATGGTCAGGGTGCCATATGAGATCGATCAATACGCTGAGATGGAGAGTGAGGCCATGCGTAAGGAAGAAGTGTCGGTATCTGAGCAGTTTCAAATGTTAAGAAGGCAAATGAAGAGTCTCCAAATTGCCCGAGGAAGTGAAAGCCTGGATTATGAGAACTTGTGTATTCACCCAGATGTAGACATGCCAATAGGGTACAAACCCCCAAAGTTCGATACTTTTGATGGGACAGGGGACCCGCGCTCACATTTAAGGGCTTATTACGACAAGTTGGTCGGAGTGGGGAGGAATGAGAAATTAAGGATGAAATTGTTTAAAAGGAGTCTGACGGGAGAGGCACTCACCTGGTATACCGGGCAGGACCCACAGAATTGGAGAACTTGGCAAGATATGATGGAGGACTTCATGAACCGTTTTTGATTCAATACAGAAATTACTCCTGATCGGTTCGCACTAGTGAACCTACAAAACAACCATCTGAGTAGTTTCAATAATATGCACGACGATGGAGGATGGAAGCTGCTAGGACACAACCGCCACTGGACGACCGTGAACTGACCAAGTACTTCATCTGAGCCCAGGAGGGAATATACATTGAAACGATGATGGGAATGATGGGTCAAAAGTTCCCCGAGCTGGTTAACATTGAAGATTTCTGCGAGGATGCCAGAAAATCTGATAAAGTGCAATCTATGGCAGCACTGCAGGTAGCCAGCAAGACCATCCAATCAAGATTGATCGGTAGCAAAAAAAAAAGAGGTCTTAGCAGTCGTCCCCTACTATCAAACTAACCCATCTCCTGGATACACCTCGTACTCCCCAAACAACCACTCACCACCACCTACATATGCTCTAGTCTATAATACCCGACCGTACTACCACCCTCAACCATAATACAACCCTCCTCAAGCCAACAACAAACAAAACCCACAACAACCATATGCTTAAGTCCAAACCGCTACTCACAAGAACTGACCAGTGTATGCACCACGTCCTCATCCCAACTTCGAAGAGAGGAGTCCAAGAACATATACCCTGATTGCCGAGCCCCTGGCCTAATTATTCAAAAGATTGAGAAGAGCAGGATTGATACACCTAATTGAGGGAAGGGTTCCTGAACATCCCTCCAAATATTGTGATTCCACTAAGAGATGTGAGTATCATTCCAATGTATCGGGGCACGATACTGAAGATTGTTTCAAGCTGAAAAATGAAATTGAAACCTTGATCAAGAGCGGAGCTATCTAATGCACTCCAACACTACCTATTGTGAATCACAATCCATTTACAAATCACTGAAACCAAGGAGCTAACACAATCACATTGAATGAAGAATATGACCTGAAGGGAACAATTGTCACTATTGGAAATGCATTAGCCGTAAAGATCCCTCCTAAAAAGGCTCCCATCATTACGGTACAAATAAATCCTACAGTGATAGTTCAAACTTATCTGCAGCAACCCGCCGATGCTACTCAGGGTGAAGAATATCATGAATACAAAACCGTCCTATGGACCTATCAACAAAAGAGAAAAGCCAAAAAGACAGACTCTGCCACGGCCCATGCTATGACTAGGTCTGGGAGATGCTATGCCCCTGAAGAGGTCAATCGAGGAAATTCAGGGAGAGAACAAATTCCAAGGAGGAACATAACAGACCTAGAAGCCGCGGAGTTTTGGAAAACAATGTCAAGTAAAGAGTATTCTGTGGAAGAACAGTTAAAGAAAACTCTAGCGCAGATATCCATCATGGATCTACAGATGAGCTCTAACAACCATAAGAACACTTTGTTGAAAGTACTAAGCGGAGTAAGTGTACCAAGTAACACCACCAGCGAAGCATTGGCCGTGACAATTGAGAAAATGGTAGAAGCAAACATGATCACTTTCAAAAGGGACGAACTTCCTGTCGAGGGCGCAAGTCACAACAAGACTCTTCACATCACTGTCAAGCATAGAGATAAAGTGGCATCTCGAGTGCTGGTCGACGGGGGATCAGGAGTCAACATTTGCCCACTCTCCACCATGCGGGAGTTGGGAATTCATTTGAGGGAACTCAAAGAAAGCCACGTAAGGTTAAGAGCCTTTGACGGTTCGCAAAAGGATGTTATTGGGGAAATTTATCTAGCCTTGCATATCGGGCCGATTGACTTTCTAGTATTATTTCAAGTGATGGAGATTTCCTCCTCTTACAATTTGCTGCTGGGCAGGCGCTGGAAACATATGGTAGGGGTCGTGCCATCTACCTTGCACCAATGTATAAAATTCGAGTGGGGATGCCAAGAGATCGTTGTCCATGGTGAGTGGGGTCATTCCGCCTATTTGGAGTATGATGTTCCATTCATTGAGGGACTAGATGGAGTAGCCTTTCATGCTGTAGAAATCATGCAGACTACTAAGGAGGAGAAGACTGAACAGAATCTGGGAATGCAATCATCGTACAGATCTAAGATGGCCGTGAGGGAGATGATGAAAGATTGTTATAGGCAAGGAACAAGGTTGGGAGCCAAGTCAGATAGGATTATAGAGCCAATTGAACACAATGGGCAGAAAGGAAGGGCTGGCATAGGATATCAACCTCCAGAAGGGAAAACTTGCACTGTTAGCTCCGGGAAAAAGGTTTTTGTGCCAGAGCATGTTTCATGTCTGGGGTAGAGTTTATCGCCCAAAGATGATATCATTGACGGGATAGGAAATTTATTCGTGAATATGATTGAAGAATGTTGTGAAGGAACTGACATCATGACACTGACTATCAGGGATGCCGAACCAAGTGAAGAATTACAGAATTGGACAGCCAGTCCATCTTTGGTTCGCCGGGAGTCTTGGTAGTATGGAACTGTAAAAGTTTTCTTTTGAAAGAACACAATCAATTAAGGTCTATACCGTGTCTGTACCTTTTTGTCATTTCCCTCTTGTGAGTGCTTAAGACATTCTTTTTGATTAAATAAAAAGAATCGTTTTCTAAAAATTTGCGATTTAGTTTACTGCTTTATTTATACCTAGCTTTTCTTTTCAGTAATCAAATCGATAAAAAACCGCATTTCACGGTTATGACATGTAACTAAACCGCTGAGCTCAACGATCCGGATTACGAGAAATATGACAAGAGTATAATGCAAGACAATCTCCCGTAGGAGATCGAACAGTTGGAGAGTCAGAAGAAGCCCAACCTCGAAGAAACGAAAGTAGTCAATCTTAGAAACAAAGAAGACGTGAAAGAAACTAGAATCAGCATTCACCTAGAAGCCAATCAAAAGGAAAAAATGATTGAGCTCCTCCGACAGTACGTCGACATGTTCGCGTGGTCTTATGATGACATGCCAGGATTAAGCACCGACATTATCTCGCATCGACTACCTACTAACCCTACCAGACCGTCGGTCAAGCAGAAGCTCAGGAAATTCAAACCTGGTTTAAGTCAGAGGATAAAGAAGGAGGTGACCAAACAGATCGAAGCAAATATAGTAAGGATCTCCAACTATCCAAGCTGGTTGGAAAATATCGTCCCAGTGCCCAAAAAGGACGGAAAGATCAGAATATGTGTGGACTACCGAGATCTCAACAAATCTAGTACAAAGGAAGATTTCCCCTTGCTGAATATCCACATTCGCATCGACAACTGTGTAAAGCATGAACTGCAATCGTTTATGGATTGTTTTGCTGGATACCATCAAATCCTAATGCACAAGGAAGACGCTAAGAAGATAGCTTTGACTACTCCCTAGGGAGTCTACTATTATAGGGTTATGCCGTTCAGTATTAAGAATGCTAGCGCCGCCTACATGAGGTCCATGACGACCCTCTTTCATGACATGATTCATAAGGAGATTGAAATGTATGTGGATGATGTCATCATAAAGTCTCGAAGGAGTTCGGAGCACTTGGGCGACTAAAAGAAATTTTTCGAATGCCTGTGAAGGTATGATTTGAATCTGAATCCAGTAAAATGCACGTTCTGAGTCCCGGCTGGAAAACTATTAGGTTTTATTGTAAGTATGAAAGGGATAGAGCTGGACCCATAAAAAATCAAGGCCATTCAGGAATTACTGCCACCAATGAGCAAGAAAGATGTCATGAGTTTTTTGCAAAGATTGAATTACATCAGTCGCTTCATAGCCTAGTCCACAGTAATTTGTGAACCCATCTTCAAACTGTTAAAGAAGGATGCTTCCACGAAATGGACGGAGGACTGCCAGAAAGCCTTCGATAGAATCAAAGAGTGTCTTTCAAACCCGCTAGTGTTGGTTCCCCCTGAACCCGAGAAACCATTGTTGCTCTATTTGTCAGTCCTGGACAATACCTTCGGTTGTGTGTTGGGGCAACACGACGAAACTGGGAGGAAGGAGCAGGCCATCTAGTACTTGAGCAGGAAGTTCATACCATGTGAAGCCAAGTATACTTTGATAGAACACACTTGTTATGCTCTGACCTGGATCACTCAGAAGCTAAGGCATTACATGTCAGCATACACCACACATCTGATATCTTGGCTCGATCCGCTCAAGTACATTTTTCAGAAGCCAATGCCTACCGGGAAGCTAGCTAAGTGGCAAATTCTCCTCATCGAATTTGACATTGTGTACCTAACTCAGAAGGGTATCAAAGGACAAGCTTTAGACGACCACCACACCAAGAATCTAGTAGATGGGGATTACGAACCGCTTACCACATATTTCCCTGATGAAGACGTACTATTTTCCGGGGAATACATCACAGAATCATACCCTGGATGGAGTATGTTTTTTTATGTAGCACCAAACTTCAAAGGAGTTGGGATTGCGGCAGTCCTTGTTTCGGATCTAGACAACACTATCCAGCGTCGGCAAAGATAAGATTCCCGTGTACTAATAATATGGCTGAATACGAGGCATGCATCCTTGGAATCAGAATGGCGATCGACGTGAACATCAAATAACTTTTGGTCATAGGAGATTCCGATTTGTTGATACACTAAGTCCAAGGAGAATGGTCGACCAAATAGGTCAAGATACTGTCCTACCTGCACTGCGTGAAGGAGCTGTGCAAGAATTTCACAAAGATAGAGTTCAAAAATGTTCCTAGGATTTATAACGAGTTCGTTGACGCCCTTGCAACCTTATCATATATGATTCAGTATCCAGATAAGAACTACATCGGCCCCATTGTGATAGAAATCAAGGATCAACATGCCTATTACTTCCATGTGAATGAAGAACCAGATGGTAAACCTTGGTATCACGACATCAAAAATTTCTTTGCGACCTAGGAGTACCTAGAAAATGCTAGGTCAAAAGCGAGCCCTCAGGAGGTTGGCAAACTAGTTTTTCCTCAACAGGGAAGTCCTGTATAGGAGGACCCCAAATTTAGGTCTGCTGAGACGCGTAGATACTGCCGAAGCAACCAGACTACTAGAAGAAATACATGCAGGGATGTGCAGACCCCACATGAATGGGTTCATGTTAGCCAAGAAGATTTTTAGAGCCGGATACTTTTGGATAACCATGGAAAGCGACAGCATCCGCTATGTGCAGAAGTCTCACCAATGTCAGATTCACGGAGACTTCATCCGGGTTCCACCAAATGAGTTAAATATAATGGGTTCACCCTGACCTTTCGCTGCCTGGGGAATGGCCGTGATAGGACCCATAGAGCCTGCAGCGTCCAACGAACATCGTTTCATTTTGTTAGCCATCGACTATTTCACCAAATGGGTCGAGCCATCTACTTACAAGGTTGTCACAAAGAATGTAGTGGCAGATTTTGTCCGGAACAACATCGTTTGCAAAGTTGGGATACTGGAGTCCATCAGCACTGACAATGCCGCTAATCTCTATAGTGATCTCATGAGGGAAATCTGTGAGAAGTTCAGAATCATCCACCGTAATTCCATGGTTTACAAGCCACAAATGAATGGGGCAGTCGAGGCAGCTAACAAGAATATCAAGAGAATTCTGCAAAAGATAGTGGACAATCACAGACAATGGCATGAGAAGTTATCTTTTGCTTTATTGGGTTACCGAACTACCATAAGAATATCCACTAGGGCAATGTCGTACATGTTGGTATACGGAACTGAAGTTGCGATACCCGTAGAAGTCAAAATTTCGTCCTTAAGAGTCATCCAATAAGCAAAATTGGACGACGTAGAGTGGATACGGGTCAGTCAAGAACAACTCATGCTCATTGATAAGAAAAAAATGGATGCAATATGTCATGGGCAGCTATACAAGAACATTATGGCTAGTGCATTTAACAAAAGAGTGAAGTCTCTTCAATTCGCACTGGGGCAATTGGTTCTGAAGAAAATCTTTCCCCATCAAGAGGAAGCTAAAGTGAAGTTTGAGCCAAACTGGCAAGGTCCTTACGTGGTCCACAGAGCACTGTCTCGTGGAGCTCTAATCTTAGTAGAAATGGATGGAAACGTCAGCACGAAGCCGATCAACTCCGACGCAATCAAGAGATATTACATCTAAGGATAGATATAGTTAGGATTTTGATGTAACAAAACTACTCAACCTGACTTCCCACGGAGGGATACGTAGGCAACCCACGTAGGGTTCGGTTTCTCTCCCCCTTTTCTCTTGTAATAGAAAAACCAAATGTCATTTTTGTATGTTGTTCAGGAACTACACCGACTTGATTTCCTCTAAAAGGAATACGTAGGCAATCCTCATCAGATTAAGTTGTATTTTGTAATTGAACTACGTTCTGGCCTGATTCCACTTGGATATGTAGGCTGTTTGAGTCAGACTCGGCCATTTTCATTCTTAATCTCATCTTTTGCATCTATTATAATTGAACAACGTCCTGACCTGATTACATTTTCGATACCTATGATGCCTGAGTCAGGCTCGGTCATTTCATCATTATCCCACAAACTACGTTCAGACCTGATTCCATTTTAGATACGTAGGCAACCTGAAAGGCTTCGGTCGTAACCTTAGGAAACCTCTGTAATGCATTAGTTTTAATTAGGATGTAGTCGCAACGGCCAGTAGCTGCGTTGTTAGAGATACCATGGAAGATCGACATCAACAGGATGAGATTCTCAGTGAAATATGTTCGCGTGCGGAAAACCTTTCGTAACATGTCATAATACGGGACGACGACATTTGCCTTAAAAGAACAAGTATTTTCAAAATATTTTCTATATATATATATATATATATATATATATAAAATCCATTCCATCTACCAAACTCCTTGGCGCCATCATGTCAAAGGCTGGGCCAAATCAATGCCAGGGTCGATGCAAAAACCAACTCCCCCTCCCACTAAGAAGTTTTCTTTGAGTGCAGGGTCAACAAGTAGTAAATAATTGCTGGAACCACTCTGGGGCAAATGACGGACCCATAACTTGCCTAAGATTATCTTTCCTTCCTCTTGCTTAAAATTTTGAGTGTAGCTAAAGCTAACTCTTGAGTTCTTTGCAAGTGCTTCGGAATCAGACAGCTAATACACAAATTTGTAAATAGAAAATCGTTCGCTCATTTAATCAGAGCATGTTGTACAAATTGAATGTTGACTTCGCCAATTGAAGTCCTGTAAATAGCAACCCACCTGCTCAATCCATCAAAGCACCCTGTACAAATCGCACATCAGATTTATCAATCGAAGCATGTATATAGCAAACTGCCAGCTTAGTCAATCGGAGCGCCTTGTTCAAATTGAAAGTCGGCTTCATCAAGTGGAGCCTTGTATATAGCATACTGCAAACTTCGCCAACAAAAAGAAATCTGCAGCACTGCTCCATCAATCACGAATGCCAGAATAGATAATCACGAACCTCGTCACTGACGTTCTGCCAATCGATGGCCTCAACATAGCTTCGCAGTCAAGAATATCTTTTGGGCATGCAAATATTTCATTTTGCTATTACCTTGAATGTTTTAACATTTTGTTCGTGCAACTTTAGGCGTGATTTCAATCACTCCTGAGCGGAGATTACTTTACATTTTTTAGTGCAAAGCTCTTCCAACAAGCAGATATGCACTCTACAAATCAAGCTCTCCCAACAAGCGGAGACATTTCTCAGTGCAAAGCTCTCCCACCAAGCGGAGACGCACTTTACCAATCAAGCTCTCCCAAAAAGCGAAGACAATTTCCAAATGCTCTGACAGTTGCGGAATGGTACCCAACCCGGCTAACAAATCGAGTCAGGATCAAGTATCCCATCATTCCAAGTCCAAATAACGGCTCGCCGGCAGGCAGGCATCATCATTCCTACATCATTTACATAGCATCTTAATATATTCTGCATTATAATATATTGGTACGCGTGTATTTCATTTTATTTTGCAGGAACAAACACTGTAGTGTGGAACTACTTCTTAACGGCAGACTAAACTACAACGCTATGGGGACAGCCAACCCAGCAGCGGGCTTAAGATCCAAGCTCAAAATGACCAACAAGCTCTAAATTTTGAATCATTCAAATCAGTCCGCAAATTCAATCCATCATGAGTGACTAATCTTCCGTCTCGTCGTATCCTCACAATACGATACTGGGGCAATTCATGCGAGTGCCGCTTTACCAAAGTCCCTACTCCAGAACTACATGAGACTTGATCCTCGTTAAGCCCGAGGTATGTAAGCAATTCAAAGCTAGAATTTGGCCCATATTCCTAAATCTTCCCAGATTCTTCTCCATTCTATCCTATAATTCACCATCCCCATTTCTTACAATACTTGCCTAAAAGTCAAGACAAAATTGGTTTTGGTTTAATTTCTTTGCCCGAAAACTCTT